TAGCGAACTAATGCATTCGCACAAAAAACAGCAACATATTATTTTCAACGCCGAAAAACTTTTAGTTTTAATCGAAAATCATCTGCTCAATTAAAAAACAACAACGCCTAACTAAACGCTTATATTCAGCTAATGAAGTCGCACGAACAAAGTCAGACAGGTTTGTAAAATTTACCTTATATGTCAGTTAGCTTTCAGTTTTGATCAAAATCAGGACACTCTGAGTGGAAAACCATTTAAGAAAAAAACTAATAGACTAACTGGGTCAATTACTTGGGACTACTTCTAAGTGCGGGTAGCGAGTTCTGACACCGTCCCTTTTTCTTCTGAAAAGGTCTTCATTATTTCAGTGAAAAACTAGGGCACTTTTGGTTATAGGGCCTAGAGTTCCCAAGACGTGAAATGATCAAACAAGTATTCGTAGAAGATGTGGAAAAAAATAACATCGGACCAAGTGACCAATCTTCTTAGTAGTATTAAACATTTAGTGGAGATTAAATGTGGGGGTGCGTGGCTGACCCCATGTATTAAGATACGTTATAAATTTCCGGTCAGGCATGCTATTTATTAAGATTGGGTACAGAGTCTACAATGTATTAAGATAAGTCTACTTAAAGTGATTGTTCACATGGACGTTAAATCTCCCAAAATTTCTATCCATTTGTCTCGAAGACAATTTATTTTTAAGAAATACGTCTTCAAACCGATTACTCCTGTTATTTCAGCATCTAGCCGAACTTTACTGGAGTTGTAACTCAGCTGACTATATTTGAGAAAAGATTCGTTGAGCCTTATTTTTTTTTGTTGTACTGATAGAAAAATTGAGCTATTAAATTTTGAAACTATATATTTCTAGCGCCCCCTCAGATGCATAAATTTCTGCTGTTGGCATTCAAATGACTCAACTTGAAGCAAATAGGCCAATAGCATTTTTGTACAAAAACAACAACACCACTTGATTTTATGTTGTTTTAATAAGAACCATCTAAAACAATTTTAGTTATTGAATTATAATTAATTTACCAGCTACATTGCAACAGCAAATCAAAGCTATTAGCAGAGAGAAATTCATCTCACCCAATGGATCACATCGAGCGCTTAAAGAGAAAAATCATTGAGCCATAGAATGGGCATCAATCAAAGAGCAATTTGTATAAATATTCATTAGCAAAAACATATTTAGCTCAAAAAAAACTATAATAAGTTTCAATTCTTTCTTGTCTAACATGGAAAATTTTTGAAGGAGTAACTTGTTTTGAAAAACAAAATTGTAAGCACAAGTTATCTTTCGTAGAAATGAAAATTTCATGGCATTTGTTTTGTATCCTACATTTGTAATTAAATTTTCTGTTTTTCTGTGGGTTTGAGGAAGTAGGAGGTTAAATCGTTTTTTTTTGTTTGAGTCTCCGAAGCTCTCAAATTCTTCTTTGAAGAGAGCAAATTGATACAAATTAAAAAAAAACTAAAGATTTTTTTGTCATTCGTGAATTCGGTTGCTGATTCGAGTTTTGGTTTAAAAAAATAGCTCATGCAAGACGTTTTTGAAGTTTTTCTATTAAAACAAGATTTAAGTTGAAAGTATTTTCGTTATATAAATGCCATACTATATCATGGATTGTGCATATGATTTGTAAAAAATCAAAAAAAAATGTTTGGAAAAACATTTTTTAACAACTCCATCAGCAGGCAGTTTGAAGCTTGGTTTGTTGGTTTTGTTGAATTTTTGATTCCTAAGTTTTTTATTAGAAGATTGATCGCTTAAACAAAAAATCTCAGAAAAAGCACGTATCGTTATCACATTTCTATCAAAAATAGAAGCATTTTTATTCAGCTTGATTGTTAAACCTTGGCAATGAATCCAATTTTCTACACTTCAAACTTTTTTTCCATTATATTTTTTCTTGATTTTGCTGGAAAAACTTTATGTCGTATCATCCGCGCGCAAAACTGGTTTTGATTTTTTACAAACGATTGGCAGATCATTTATGAATATAAGAAATAGTAGCGGCCCTAGTTTTGATCCTTGCGGAACACCACAAGTCAAAATTTCTTTTTGAAATTTTTCATTATCAAAGCAGCAAACTGCTTACAGTTTGTTAAATAGCTTTCGAGAAGTTTCCTAATGTTTTCCCTTGTTCCATTTTTTTTTCAATTTTAGCGTGACCCACTTATGATTTTTTGTGTCAAATGATTTTTTGAAGTCGATAGAAAACGTTTCACCAGAACAATTAAACAAATAAAATTGGAAAAATCTACAACTGCATCAACGCAGTTTATTCTAGGTTGAAAAACTTTTGTTCCTGTCGAAAAATAATAAAGTTTTAAGGAAACTTTAATGTATTATTGTTTCATGTCGTGTAAGAAGAATTTAGCTTATCTTCTTCTTCAAAAACTTTGAGATCCAGCAAAACGGAATAATGATGACTGATTAAAGCTTTTAAAGTAGACAAACTTTATTTCTTACTCGTCAAAAACTACACATATATATTATTGCTTTATATATGAATTTGTCTAGTTTTTGATGATCAAGAAATAAAGTTTGTCTACTTTTTGACCGCACTCCAAGCTAAGAGTATCGGTTGTTCGACAACTAACAGTCGGTCACAAAGGGCAAAACACAAATGCAATCTGTTTCTAACCATTGGAATAACGTATTGAAAAAGTCAAAACGATTCGGAATGTTTGGCCTCACCAAATCGAGCCAATAAAAAGATTTTGAAGAGTTAAGACAAAATGGTGTCCTTACCCTCCCATTGTTATTTGTCTAGTTTTTGACGAGTAAGAAATAAAATTTGTCTACTTTTTGACCGCCCTCCGAGCTTAGAGTATCGGTTGTTCGACAACTAACAGTCGGTCACAAAGGGCAAAACACAAATGCAATCTGTTTCTAACCATTGGAATAACGTATTGAAAAAGTCAAAACAATTCGGAATGTTTGGCCTAACCAAATCGAGCCAATAAAAAGATTTTGATGAGTTAAGACAAAATGTTGTCTTTACCCTCCCATTGTTATTTGTCTAGTTTTTGACGAGTAAGAAATAAAGTTTGTCTACTTTTTGACCGCTCTCCGAGCTAAGAGTATCGGTTTTTCGACAACTAACAGTCGGTCACAAAGGGCAAAAAACAAATGCAATCTGTTTCTAAGCATTGGAATAACGTATTGAAAAAGTCAAAACAATTCGGAATGTTTGGCCTGACCGAATCGAGTCAATAAAAAGATTTTGGAGAGTTAAGACAAAATGTTGTCTTCCCCTCCCATTGTTATTTAAAAACTTTATGAGGTCAAAAATAAAATTTTTTTCTCTACTATTTCTACTAGGCAGCCTACTTTGAAGGCTTTTAGGCAACAACTCTACTCTGCTATTTGGGTACATACAGACCGGAAGTCAACAGAATAAGTTTTATAGTAAATGTGCCGTAAATATAGTGCAAATATCGGCCTTAATTCAGGAAATTTCAAGCGAAAAAAATTTGAATAAGAGAGTTTCAGCTAGGCATATACTCAGCATACAGGTTGAACTCATCAAAAATCTAAACTCAGAAGTTGAAAAAATTTAAATATTCTGTCGTATTTTTACTTCTCAGATTTATTAGTGTGGGCAACTCTGATAAATAAATATAATAGTTTTAACCTCATGAACAATTTCAAAATTTCAAATTTTTGAAAATTAATGGTTTATATCTTTTATTTTGAAAAACTTCATTATAAGATATTGTTTATTGGTTAAAATCATTTTGGTTAGAAGATACACAAATAATGTTTGCTGTCAAAAAGGTAGTTTTTACCTTTTACCCGTTTTTTTGTTATCTTTTATCCTAGTCTTTTTCTGCAAGAAACTTATTTCAATTATTATAATGTTTTAAGTATATTTAAAACTAAGTGTATGCTTTTTTACAATGAATGGAAATTGAGCCGCAATTAATTTTTTTGGAAAAATTGAACCAATAATATTGTTGTTTTTAGCCCTGAGGGGCCGCTTCCGTCTTGCTCCAACCAAGCCCCAGGTCGGACGAAGACACAAGTCTATTGGGGTCAAAAGAATGGTTTTTGGTAACAGTTAGAAAAGGAAGTGGTATGGGAGGAAGGACCATATGGTCAGTTCGGGGGGATGATGGGGTCAATTCGATTTAGTTACGCATTCAACGAGGGGACTGTACCCGGATCTCATCTGCGAAAGGCTTCACATAGTGAAATGAGGGATTTGTTTTTGCCACGAGGGCTGCTAGTCTTTTTTAGCTATTGTTTGGGCAAGGGTTCTCCTAGTAGACTGAGAATCGATTTTTTTGTCAAAAGCACTAAGTTTTTGCTGAACTCTAAAATATGCAAGTGCCACCACGTCTGATTAAGTAAATACGCACACAACTAATTTTCAACCTGCTCAATCACCATTCAAGTTTTATTTCTGCAATTTATCGGATGAGGCGGAACTCGTAATGATATTTCCGATGCTCAGTTTGCTTCGATTATTATAGCGGAAGTTTATTGCTTCGAAAGAAAATCAACTAGATTATCACGGTCGTTTTGACGTGAATAACGACCAATTCAGCTAGTGCATGCACGTTTATACTTGTCTAGAGGCTAGTTCGAGAGAAATTTAAGTTAACAAATGTTTTTTTTTTCAAATTTCGTACAAACTCGGGCTAGTTATAAGAACTCCATATATTTATTCCGTCGATATCACAAAATAATATTATGTTCAGAAATAGACATCTATGGGGAATATACAGCACAGCTAGTCTCGTACCAATATTCCAGATCGAAGCAGTGAAAGGTTTTATTGAGTTAATTGGAGAGCAGGAAAACTATCTATAGAACATTTCAAGGCAAATATCTGACCATTTTCATCATCTCAATCTGCTAAATTCGGCAAAATTTTGTCTCAAACTCTATCCCCTCATTTGCCGAACATCTTAATCTTAAAATTGAGGTTACAAGCCACTGATTGAGCACGCTTCCTCCGACAAAGAATGGGAGTGTTTAGTTTAGAAATTATACGATGGAGGAACCGGGTTCGAAAATCTCTAAAAAAGTTTCAACCATTCATTCCATGTGAAAATTTTCATAAATCGAAGTCTTGCAAATCGGGCAAAAGCGAGAGTTCAAAACGGCTCTTATTGCCCAATCCCTAAAAATAGTTTTCACATGTCAGCTTTTGATTTTACAATGTATGAAGAACAAATTAGTTGCGAATTGGGCAATTCCCATACATGAAAAATTTAATAAAGAACGGGCTATGTAAACAATTTTTTAAGGATACAATCGGAAGTGGTAACGGTAGAAGATCTTGCCCATAAATCAATATTTCAAAGCGAAAGTGAAGTAAAAATTAACCATAATATTATTGAAAAAGCGAGATATTTAGGAGCAAAACATTTACACTTGATGTATGCAACCACTTCATTTTGGTTTGAAATATGAATTTTCGATTTCGACAATTTAATCGCCAGCTATGCTCAAAAACTGCAAATTAATTGTGCCTTGCCTCAAGATAGATGCGTTAGTGCGAATTATCAGATGAAATAGATTGACTGGAAATAAAAAGATAAAGCACACATTTTAGATTTGAGTTGCAAGAAAACGAAGATTGTAAACTCTATATTATGGTCAGAAAAGTAGGGGTTGTTCGGGTTTTGGGGTAGATTGGGATTGGACCAATTTCATTGTACCAAAAACATGAATACGTTTTTTTTAAATCTTAGCACCATGTTTAAAGTGAATGAATTTTTAACTCCATTCAATCGAATCAAACAGCAGACACTACTTCCGCACTCAAACGCAAGCAGCAGATCTTTAAAAATTAATTTAACTACGATAACTAACACACATAACCACGCCGCCCATGGAAGGATAGAAGACGTCTAGGAACTCATGCTTATTCAAGCACGAAAGGCGATGCTCACTAATATGTTAAACAAACGAATCTAAAATAGTTTTTCTTTATAAGTTTTCATACTCTTAGAAAATAGTTTTGATTCAGCTTCTGCGGAATTTCCGCTTATTAAAATCCGGCGTCAAGCCTCGGATGATCTGTCGCCGGCTCCATTTTTTGGCTTTGAATTGCCATTCTGGTTGCAGAGATCGCTGTCGAAAACTTCGTCGTCTGAGGGATAGACCAGACCAGCTGTACTGCTGGCGATCGAGTAGTTCCTCGGCATATGACTGTTGGAGTTCGTGGAACTGCTGTTCTGCACATCTTCACCTTCTTCCTCGTCCTCTTCTTCCTCTTCATTCACTTCCTCTTTGATACTCGGAAGTGCCGAACGCACGGAGGGCCTTCTGTTCATTGGAAGAGGGGCTTGAGCCTGATGTGCATCGTAGTATCCTGGCTCGCTGAATTCGAACTGGCTCTCCTGCAGTTGCTGTTCGTTGTCCCAGTCGAAGGCGTTCATCGCGGGCGAGTACCCTGGCGACTCGGGCGGGGGTGCATGCGAAATGTCGTTAGATAGAAGTCGAGGATTGCCAAAAGAGGTCTCTTCGTACTGCTCGTTGACGACCAGTGAGTCAACTTTCCTAGAACAAATCCCATTTAAATTCTCTGACTTTTCGAAAAATCATTCCATTAACTTCTGTGAATTTCGAAGACTATGTTTGCTTGGTGACAATTTAGTAATTAGCTAAGAAAAACAGATGTCACCGATCTAGAAGTCTCTTGACTCAGCGCACTATTAAAATTTACCTGTTAATCATCTAACCTACCTGAACAAAAATGCAGTAATTGTATCCGAACTTGCAATGACTCTTGTCCATTTTAGCGACTTTTCCCGATAAAAAAACTGATTTGTGAGTTAAGCGCTGTACTGACTTTTGCCTGTGGGAAGAGTAGTGATTAGACGTGTTCCTTCTATGTCGGTTGTGAGGAGTCGGCATTTGTGGGCAGTATGTGGGTTTGATGTAGCAGACAAAGATGAAGAGGCAGGCGGCAAAAATTAGCACACACAAAAGCAGCACTAATGTCACTAGCAACGGCACAGGTACTCCTTCTTTCTCTACACCAAATTAACAAAAAAAATTACACTAATACCGAACCAAACAATGATAGTCGGTTGCAGTGCTAGTAGTACAATAATTTATCGTAAAAACTTAAAAAAAGCTTAAGAAAGTTTTTTTAGTTTATTCTACAAATTAGAGCCGTTTTTTATGCGTAGTAAGTTAAGCATAATCGACAACTTTTATCTTTGAAAATAAAATTTACAAAATTCTAAAATGCGTTGAATTTTTATTGCCAAGAAAATGCTAGATCAAGTTTTTTTCAGCCTATATGACCAATTTTCATTTAACAACTTTACTTGCTTGAAATTACATAAAATTCAAAAATTTCAAACCAGTTTTTCTCGACACTGTAACAACTCTTTGATATTTCTTAAAATGTCGTTCAGTTAGGACTTAAAAGGCTTAAAACTGATATATCACTCGACCAATTTCTATGATTAGTTGTTTTACTTGATTTTGGGTGGAAAACAAAAACAAAAACACGCCCGATGACAAAAGTTAATCCCTCTTTTCAATGGTCGGAACAACAAGACTAACCAGTTGTGTGCAGTGCAGGTAATGTGCAGGGGATGTTTAACACCAACTGTTATTATATCAAAAAAATAGAGCCAACAGACTATAGGAAAAGTTTTCATGGACAAAAAACCAACTGTTTGAAAACTTTGAAAGAAAAAATTCCCATCATGGAGCAAATAAACAACCCCCATAATAATAAATAAACACTTTTTAGGCAGAAAAGGAAACGCAAGTCTTAAGCAAGGGCGGATCTAATGTTTCTTACTTTTTTTTTAGATCAACCTAGATTGATTTTCCATTTATAGTTTAAATTTCAGAAAAAAAACAGGCCAAAATAAAAGTTTTCGAGTGGTCTTCAACCAAAAAAATCAATTTTTATGCTACACGCTGCCCCATTCAAATTTAATGTATATCGGGCCCTAGATAATTTAGAGTTGGTGAACCAAAAGCAGATGAAAGAAAATAGTAGCAAATGCGACAGGCCCTCGCCCTCCTTAATTAGCTGCTCTCAATAAACCCATGAAGAAACACATTGAACAAGTTGAAAAGAATTTCAAAAAGGAAAAATAGTTGCAAAGCAAAAATAGTTGCAATAATTTCTCATCTGTAATAATTTATCGCTTACGCTGAAATCGAACAAAACACATCGCGAAATATTTACATCAATCTGATCAAACTGACAATTATGCCTCATAACTTAAAAAAACAATCGCAGTTTTTCAAGCTCAAAAAATTTCATCATTTACACAAATTTATAACATTATAAATTTTTGACACCGGATAAAAAAATGGTCCCAGTCTATGGCGCTACGCTGCAATTATGTTAAGATATGGATATCGTCAAATTGATTTTTCTGTCCGCTGAATATCAAACAAACAATAACCCTTCATACATAAATCTTCTTTGAACATAACCAACAGAGTGAAAATGACAACTGAAACTTTTGGAGTATTTCCGAAGAAAAAACACATACTCTTGAATTTGAAGAACTTTTTACTGAAAAGCTTTTTTTGAGAATATTGAACCAATTTGAGAAAAATGGATCAATGTTAAATTTTTGTTTGGCTGGAAATCTCAAAATTTAAACCTATTTGAAGCTATTGACGTTTTTTTTGCCATGTAAGTTATAAATTGTTGAAGAGCGTAAGTTGCCTTTCATCTGGCAAATAAATTTGAAGATAACTTGAAAAAGATCAAAAGTCAAAACACAAAAAACAAATTTGAACGCGACAAACGTAATAACTTTTATCCGAAAGTGATTAAAATAGAAACAATCTCACGACCTAAATAAATGTCTTCACTTCTTTTACTGACATTTGAAAATGCAAACATTTACACAATTAATCATAATGAATTTTGTTCCGCTAAGAAATCTAAACATCAAATCATTTTTTGAAAAAAAAGCTGTTTGGTTTTTTGGAAAAAGTGTTATTTGCCTTCCTTTTGTGATACAGAAGCAGCAAAGTTGAAAGAAAAAAAAACTACAAAGAGCAGCTGTAAAAATCACCAATATTTGCGACTTAGTTTGGAAAAAAATACTCGTACTATTACACTACGTTCGCATGTGTAAACATTGCTAACAGACAGTTGGGAAAGCGTCAATGAACGCAAGGAAACGAAAAACACAGACTTCATTTTTTAAAATCATTTCAACTTTCGAATTTCAAACAAACACAGCATATCCCGTAAAGCTCTCTGAATTTCAAGAACAGCTTACGATTGGCTTTTTTTGACATAATTAACCCAATTTAAGAAAACTGAATCGATATGTAAAGTTTTTATTCCGCTGTGAAATCTAAAAGTTAATAACAACTTTCGAAATTAGAAGACGATCACATTTTGTGACTTTTACATTTTTGCTTTTCGATTTTGGAGTTTGCCTTTCTTTTAACAAAGGAAATGAACTAGACTTTAAACTAAAACCCAAAACCAAACCGTGAAAAATCAAAATACTACTAATCGCTTTGTAGTATCACACTACTCTACGTTTTGTGTAAGAGAACTTGAAAAGAAATAAGAGTCGAACAGCAAAAAAATTTTATATGGAGCGTAATAGCGTGATCAACCTACAAGGCATTAAAAAAACAACCCAGATAATTAATACGACCTTCATTTCATTCGAAACTTAAAACTGCCTTTCCTTCAAAATTTCAGTTGTTCATTCCACCAAGGTATGAACAAAGTCAACAGAAATTAAAAGTGAATGCGATTCAGAAACAATCGAGGCGTATGCATTTGTCATGATTCATTTAACAAATGACATCTGCATGAATGAATTTAACTGATTGACAGATACTTGAAGTGACAGGATGCCACACTCGGAAACTCCAGTCATATTCAACTTGTGAACATCAACTAATTCACACCAGGCCAGTAACATCTGGCTACTTTTGTCAAACGACAACCAGGAAAACTCCTCCCATTCTCAACATAATAGCTTTAGCTAGCGAGTTCAGTTCGGCTTACTTTTCAAGTATTAAAAAATGTTCAGCATACTGTGAACTTTAAAGTTTTTTTGACGAGAGAGAAAGCTGCGTGTCAAACTTCTTTTAAAAATAACAGAACTTTGAACCCGACCATTTCTCCACGAAGGAAAAGACAAAATATCAGCTATTCAAAAATTTAGGGATGATAGCCATTTGTGTAATATTCAGTTTCGTAGTGATATTTCGATTTTCTAAGCTCAGTCAAAATCTTTAAAAATACCATATTTTTTCATGGTAAGAAGGTAGAATATTGCGGTTTTGACTATTTTTATTGAAGTTTTGCACATTTTTTTTCGCGCAAATGTTGACCCTTTAAATAAGTGTATAAAGGGACCTAAAACGCGCTTAAAAAGGGATGATCGGTCAAAAAATGGTATCAATTTTCCTTTTTGAAACAATTAGACAAACAACAGAATTCGCATCCACCTCCCTCAACGTTTTTGTGGTATAGCATTCAACTGGAGGAATCTCTTTATAAAACAAATATTGGAGAATCACATTAAGCGTGTCGTGCTGAACAGTTCATGCGTTTGAGGGATGCTACTGAACAACCCCTTCCTGATGTAGTTTGTAATTTAACTGATACTAGCGCATGACTAGCGCCTATGGTGCTTCAAATAAATTGTTGAACGTGGAAATTATTTACAAAAAGAATTCATTTAATGCAACCGTTTATTTAAATTATGCCCATCCATCAGGGTTTTCTATTTCAATAATTGAACAATTTTTAAAACCCAATAATTGATCAATTTTTATCTCGAAAACCAAATGAAATTGAGTAGACATAATTGGAGGGCAGAATTGCAAATCTATAGCGTACCCTGAGATCAGCCCATCGAAGGATTGAGAATTTCAAGTTTTGAGATTTTTTCATTAAAAAATCATAAAAACGCCCATCTTGGGAGCCAAAAGAAATTGAGCAACAATATTAGGAGGCCAGCTTTGCAAACTTTGAGTCTACCCTGATAGCCCACCGCCATAGGGCTGAGAAATTCAATTTTATCAAATAAAAACTGAAACGGAAGCTTTAAAATTTTGCATTGCATTTTAAGACTTAGAGTCTACATCATTTCTTACGTAACGCACGCCAATTATGAGTCTACATAATTGCAAAATTACGCAAGCCAATTATGACGCAGTAGGAGTACCAGTCGACTTGAAAAAAAAAGAAATTTATCAACTACCATGCCTGAATTTATAGAGCGGACCCATTTCAACTAGAATACGAAAGAGTTCATTAAAAACATCCGACCCTGTCCAGGTTCGAGCCCTCTTATTTCGTTGCGGGTCTCCTTCCCTACCACTACGCTACAGATCCACGATACCTTGATCCTAAAGTGCTATTTGTAATAACCTTAGCATTGGCTGTACTTAATAGCTCGTAATTGATCTTATGCACATACTGCAATAAAAAACAGTTTAAAAATGAATACTAATATTTGCGACTTAGGTTGGAAAGAGAGAGTTCATACTATCACACAAGCTTTGCTTGTGTAAACATAGAGAACTCTTAAAAATGTAGCAAGTGAAACGCCAAATAAATGTATAGATAGAGATAGATAGATAGATAGATACGACACAGAAGCGAAGCCGCGCTTCGTAAACACTAGCAAGAAAACGACAAAAAACAGCACTATAAAGTGAAATACATTTGCGACGTAGGTTGGAAAAAAACAAGAGTCGCACTATAACACTACGCTAGTTACTGTAAATATGTATCTCAAATATGTGTCTACATCGAAATTCAAAATTAAAATCTAACGGTTGTGCTGGAGTGGGTTGGGTCCGCAGTAGCACCAGAAACTGATGGATAACATCTCTTCCCCTCCTTCATTCGTCCCCCAACTGCTCTGATTGAGAGACATGAGGGGCCACGCAGTGGGCAGACAAATCTCACTCATGGGCGCACCTCTCACAGAACAGTTCAGCACCTGTTTCGTCAACTCTTCTGCACAAAACACAAGGAACACTATCAGACGCTGAAAGTTGCAAGTACAAATGGGGCGGGGGGAGCTAGCGCCCCGGTTCAACAAAAACACAAATGGCACCTGACAACTATCATCATACATAAAACAAGGAAATATTTCATCCTTGAAAAACAGACATTCAGTACCATGAGCAGAAAAGAGCTACTTAAATAAATTTCATCATCCTCACCCACCACCAACGCCAGATGTTTCACTGAAAATAAAGCGGAGGAAAATGAACTTGCCAGTCTTCTTGACAACTTTCGTAGCTCTCCGCATAGTAAAGCATGTATGAGTCATGCCTCCTGGTCCGAGGCCATTGTTAATGGGCACACATATACTGTTGCTTGGGCAATGCCCATTATTGGTGAGACAAGGCGCAGAATCCAACCTCTCCACGTCTTGCAAAGACTTGTGCACAACTGACAGGTGCAAGTAGCCTTTCATATCTCCTCCATGAACACCCTTGTCAAGAGAACACCTGAAGCAATTTTTAAAAGTCGACTACACTGTAGCATATAGCTAGCTCCCCTGGTATTGGTACCACCAAAGCTTCAAACTTCTTTCTCAAGACAACAGAACTATTTTTGAAATATTTCAACCCCCCCCCCCCCCCCCCACCTCCAATTCTTATGACCAAAGGTTTATTTACATAGGCCGATTGTTATGAAAATTGGCATGCGACATAACTAAGCCATGGCAACCATATCTGGTCTTCATACTCAACCTTGAAAAATCACTCGTTACACCAAAAAATTGATACTCATTCGAGGTAAAGGGGGAAGGGAAAAAGAGCCTTAAGCACTTGCAGAAGATACCTGCGCTTATTGCACGTGTGAATTCTGCCTGGATTGGGTTTCGAACCCCAGTCGGACCAGATTAAGGCGCTCTCGAATATGGCTAGCGAGAAAGGCCGGGCTAGAACTGTGTCGCGTACGGCTGCCTTGAGCACGAAGCCCTGATTGGATCCGTCCAGACTTGAGAAGCGGATCTGGTCGTATTTGGCGTCCAGAAAGTAGATGCGATCGCTGAACTCGTCTACGGCCACGCTGTTTATGAACTGCAGATTGTCACTCACTACAGTTCGCCGATCAGACCCGTCGAAATTGCACCTCTCAACTACGTGTTCGCCCCAGTCGACCCAGAACACAAAGCTGAAACCATATCACAGCTATCAAACTTAAGAGACGCGCATCATGCTTCACAGCGTAGTTCAAGTATTTATGATGAGCAGGGAACGGAAAAAAGAGAATAATTTTTTTTATCACACTTAACGGAGTAAAAGAAAATAAGAAAAAAACATACAATTTTGCCCTAATTTGCCATAAGAATTGAAAATTTTCGAAAAGATCCATAAATTAAAGTTGGTGATGAAAAATCTTGCCAATTTCTTTCATGCGCGGATAAAATTCTGTGAGCCAAAAAACTCAGTAATTTGAAGCAAACACCGCGTTCCATTGAAGCTTGCCAAAAAACGTTCAAACGTGTTGTTTTATGCATTTAGAGGACTTTTTAATGCGTTTAGTGTTGCTTTATGCATTTAGAAAACTTTGATTTTTCCCGCTCCTTGACAATGAGCTCATTAAATTGTGGATATCTTGCAAGCGCCTGTCTTGCAAATTGTCGCGCCGCGTATTTGAAAAAGCAATAATATGATTGTAGGACACTCACAACTGGATGCGCCAAAAGTATCAACTAGAGAGCTCGAAAACGGCGTGCTTTTTGAAAAGTATTGCAAACTTTTTGATCGACGACCCAGTTTTTTGACTGGTTGATAAAATGAAATGGTAGGTAAAAAAATCGGCTGGTATATAAACCACTTAAATGAAAACTAAGCAAACAAGCGAACACTTATGAAATGCAAGGTAAAATTTTTAACCGCAGACACTCCTTCATAATGCAAACATTTGGTTTTTTGTGAACTTTTATTCCAGCAGACCAGGGACGGATCAAGGATTTTCTCGAGCGAGGGGCGGATTTTCAAACATCAAAAATTTTGTCGACTTTTTTTAGGTCGACCAATTGATTTTCTTAGCACTCCCAAAAACTTTTTTGAAAAGTTTTCGGCGCCAGACAAATTTTGAAAAAACAAGCCAAAAAAAGTTGTTTTTGGGCAGTTTTTGGAACGTTTTCACAAAAAAAAAACAGCGCTTCGTTTCAAAATAAGTATATAATGGCTCCGAAGACGCCTTAAGAAAAAAAATTTTGGGTTGGTCTCACTTAAATGTATTTTGATTCCAAAAAATACTACCAAAAGGGGTGAACCTTTGGTTGATGAAGGGGTCCCTAAATTCGCGCTCGCAGCAGAAAACTCACCGTCGCGGGACGTGCAGAGATATCTCTCTGGGCTGGGAGAGTTTCTCCCGCACTAGGGACATATCATGCACCCCATCAGATGACGTCACGTGGATCTGAGTGGTGGGCTCCCTCTCTACCCAGTACACATTGCCAGACGAATAATCCACAGCCATGCCCTCGGAGAACATGTCCACTTCGGAATTGAGTGAATTTCTGCTGCCGTTTTTGAACACTGTTGTTTTGTTTAAAATAGTGTCATTTCTCAACAATTCGTTCAAATTCCAACTAGGCAATACGGTCCTAAAAAACAATGAGTTAAATCATACTTCTTAAAAAGTTTAATTTCCGTAAAAACCCATTTTCATATTAAGACGTGTTTTTTTCTGTCTGAGAACCAAAATATAGTCTAAGGAAATTCGTCGTCTGCATCACTGGTGATTATATATATTTTTCAAAAATCAAATTCTTGAATGATCTGACAGTGGTTTCGAGAGCAAATAATAATATCAGAACATCCGCCGAAATTAAGAAAAAAACTACCAGTGCTGCATGACACTATATATTTTTTAAATTTTGGCGACTATCATTCGGTTCATTTCGAATCGAGCACAGAAACTGACCTGTAAATATTGCGAGTGTATCTGTCGGTGAAGTAAATTAGATGCCTCTGGTAGTCATAGGCGGCAAAAGTGAGCTGATGACGTTGCATGGTGGAACTCGGAGGATACCTCACGTTCAAAAGATAGTGGTCTGAATTAAGCGGTTCTATCATATCTTCATTATGCGTAAACTGATCCTCTATGTTTATAACAGTTAAATGAGCTAATGTTACGAGAATAAAGGCGTTCGGGTCTTCGGCTATGCATCTCGAGGTGTCGGCCGAGTCGACGAAGTAGCCTTTGTGACACGAGCAGATATATGAGCCAAGAGTATTTGTGCATATTTGGTCACAAGGCGGTGGGGCAACAGTCACCTCTGGACTGCATTCGTCAACATCGACACATACATTCGATTCATTATCGAACACAAAGCCTTCCTCTGTACATCTGCACCTAAATGACAAGGCTACGTAAATCCTCAAACCTAAATGAAACAAAACAGTTACGAAATTACTAGTTATTCTTTACGCTTAAAATTAAACTGTTTTTTTTTTGGAAAAGAAGCTTTTTACTGACTGAAATTAACTCCTAATATTTAAATAGACCACTGACACTGACGCAAAATTAAAATTAGATTTACAATTTGAAACCTTTAAGACCATTTATCCACGGGGGAAAGGACCAACACAAGAGCTGTACAGCTCATCACGGCGAACCGCTGTTGTGCCCTTGTTTAAGAACTACATGCTATTTTTTTGGTTATTTTTCTGGGCTGGGTAATGTTGCTTCACCCTCAAGCAACGAGCACGGATCATGGTGGGCCTCGAACATCCGACCTTTCGATTGAGAGGCGGAGACGTAACCACTTCACCACCGCTCCCCTAGAACGCTTTTCACGCCGGAGCAAACAGACAAAAGCTGAATAAAACGTACTTAGCTCCTTGAGATGTATCAATACAGTTTGCGCTCGTCCCGCAGAACCCATCTGGCAACTTATGACAGAGCCCGTCGCAAACACGCTTTTGCTTCTCACTGTCCAGGGCGCATGGTTCCAGTTTCTCATCACATGCAAGTTTCAAATCTATACATCTTCCTTTTGTCAAATTCATAACTGAACCACTGTGTTCTGATTTCTGCTCAATTTTTTGATCTGGGCAGTAAAACTGAGACTGGGTGCAGTTAACATGCCAGCAATCGATTTCGTCTCTCGCGTCAAAGCAGTCCGGATATCCATCGCAGACCTGGCTCTTCTTCAAACACTGACCCGCTACTCCTCCGCAGTGGAAAGCTTGCGGGTCGTTGCAGTGAATACTAGCACATAATAGCTCATCCGCTTCATTGACACACTCTACAGTTCCATTACAAAATGCCGATTTGGGTACACATTGTAGTATTTGTTCACGAGTGTGTTCATACGAATCTGCGATGAGTTTTGGGTTCCAAAGGCAAACTTGCTCCAAATACCCTGGACATACTGGCTCACACGTGTCTATAGCTTCTAGATCCGATGGCTCGAAGGAGCACAGCGGAACATTATCAGCACAATCAGGAAAGTTAACATTTGGAGTTTCATCCTGTTTCCATTTTAGTCTGCATATTGAGTTCAAACTACCTTGACAGTTCTTCAGAAATACTGAATCTTCGCAGTAAGTTAAGTTGCAAATCAATCCTTCATCGGAACCATCTGCACAATTTGAAACACCATCACAACCCCGATTTGAATCCACACATTCGGTATGGCCTTCATCATCTGTTGTCCAGCATTTGAACTGATTTTGGGGACAGGTTGAGTATTTTAGACCATCTTTGGATTTATTGAGATAAGTACACGCCTATACACAACAAAAAACAACTGTAATCATTTCACGAACAGTTGAGAACTTTTAACCAATACAAACGAAGGTGAACAACTAAACCGTGCCACTGTGTCAGTAAGAAATTCAACATTTTCCTAACTAGTAGTTAAGCTAGAAGGGTAAGAAAGACTAGCAGTAAGAAAGGCAGTTGTGGTTTCCAAGACGAAAAAAAAATGAAAAACCAAACTGACATATAAACACACAAAATTTGAACTTTACCTGAACAAAAACTACACAAAAAATCAGTTTCAGAGGCTTCATTACACTTCATTTGAAATTTTTATGGATGGCACAAAATAGCATGAACTTTATTATTTGAACTTTACCTGAACAAAAACTACACAAAAAATCAGTTTCAGAGGCTTCATTACACTTCATTTGAAATTTTTATGGATGGCACAAAATAGCATACAAAACAAAAGAGGCCGGTTTATGTGCAATTAGTGCCAAGAGTTTTGACCACAATAATTCATAGAAAAAGTGACAGAATTTGTAAATGAGTATTTTTCAAGGTTGCGTTTATTGTTCTTCTATGGACGAGAATCGGTTTTTCTTAACCCTGAGAAAACTTTAAAATCGATCACATTACAATTAAAAGGCCTCCAACATGATATATCACCCGACCCCATCTACATTTTATTCGTGGTAGCTGTTTTTGCCTGAAAAATAAAAAAAATAACAAACCCGAACCACCCGAATAAGAAATGTCTCTCTACTTTCAATTGCCGGTCGGATTAAAAAGCGTAAAAACAGAAAACCGCAGTTGAAAAAAATTGATGGTAATTTCTGGCCCAGCTAAACCTACTGATGCTTTGTCTCTACAATAATACTTCAGAACTAAACAGCATTCAAAAATTACAGCGACAAAACAAAAAAAATAGCTTCATCTTTAAAAAAATCGACAAAGATTAATTTCAAAAAGAATCCCAACTCAAGAATTTCAGCAGAAGGTGGAAAACGACGCAGAAAAACCAGTCAGCTGTTATTTGTGAAAATATTCATTTTACTGTCTAATGTATAATTGCAGCATCTGTGGCAATTTAAGATGGTTTACACGAAAAAAGATTTTGCCCGATCATACAAAGAATAACCGGTAGCTCTGCAAGTAGCTCAAAAAAGTTTTGACCAATTGCCATTGAAAACAAAGAATTATAACACAGAGGCGAATTGAAACTTCGCACCACTTGCAACACAACACAAACAGAGCATGGCAAACATGTCGACAGAAAATAAGACGAAATTCAAAAAATAAACAAGTTTTTTTAATTAAAAAAAAAAAAACTAGACCTAACAAGATTTTTAACTGGTTATCTCGATTGGTGCTCAATAAAACTTAATTTGAAAAAAGTACGGAGAAAAAACTTACGAAACAATGACAAAGCCGAATAAACTCGAGTAGACACCTGTTGAGCCGAAAATAAATTGTTTTCACTAACTTAACCCAGAAAAGTGTAAGTCACACCTAAAACACACACGCATAAAAAAACGACACAAAATGATACTACTAAGCCCAGATAAAATGCTCCGAGCCTTTTTAAACACCAATTTGATATAACCCAAGCGTATCAAAAAGCAAAAAAAAACCCTGAAAGTAACGAGCCGGAGTATGTAAATTTAACACAGGCGAAGTTGCACTTCGCATACACAAGCAAAAAAAATGACCGACAACGCTACTAGAAAAAACTGAATGAGTTAAACTTTGAGTCTACAAAACTTCTTAAGTGACGCACGCCAATTAGAGTCTTAAATGACGCACGCCAAGTGACGCAAAAAATTAAGACTCATTAGCAGTACCAGTCCGTTTGAAAAAAGAAATTTACCAACTAACATGCCTCAATTTATAGAGCGGACGCATTTAAACTAGTATACGAAAAATTTCATTACAAACATCCGACCCTGCCAAGGTTCAAACCCTCTTATTTTTCTGCTGGTCTCCTTCCGCACCTCTAAGCTACCAATCCATGATTCCTTGAAGCTAAAGTGCTATTTGTAATACAATAGTGTGTGTTAATATCCTTAGCATTTGCTGTACTTAATCGCTGGTTATTGATCTTGAGCATACACTGTATAATAAAAGAGCACTTTCAAAAAGAGCACTAATATTTGCTACTTAGGTTGAAAAAAAAGAGAGTTCTCGCAAGTGTTTGCGAAGCGCAGTGTCTCCTCTATGTCGAAATTTGATTATTATGCTGATTACACAAGCAAAGCTTGTGTGATATTACAAACTCTCTTTTTTTTCACTCTAAGCTTTGCTTGTGTAATCAGCATAATAATCAAATTTCGACATAGAGGAGACACTGCGCTTCGCAAACACTTGCATAACACGGGCAAAAAGCAGCTCTATCAAGTGAAATAAGAAAAAAAAAAGAAACCTCGAATTAGCAAAAACTCGGCTACTTGTCGCATTCGAATCTGCGACCTAGCAAATTTGCGTCTCACGCACGAACCACTCAGCCACGGATGCTCAAAATCCTAAAAAAACTAGCCACCAATAACGCAGCTGCATATGCTAATAAATTGCCAATTCGATCCAGCAAAAGTTGCACCAAATACAAAAAGACACAATATTGCATGTAATAAAGTGGAAAGCATAATATCAAATTATGTATAAATTATGCATTTCCAAAAACATTGCAAGATATATTGGGTTGAAAAGTTTCTGAAACCGAGCTTTTTATCATTGGTTGCTGTTTGAAACAAATAGATTTTTTCGGCTTATTTTATGAATTAAAAATGCATTATATGTGTTAACTTTTTACTAATCAAATGTCAAAGCACATATGATATTATACTGCTACCGCAGCCTAACGATTCAAAAAAGCCACCAAAAGAAGCATTTTTATTTGCGACTTAGCTTGAAAAAAAAAAGAAAGTTCGTACTAATAAGAAAGTTCGTACTTCGCAAGTGTTAATAAGGGTCATGATACGTCTGTTGGAAATCCACTGCATTTTTTTTGCAAAACAAGATGTCGAAAAATTTGAAAAAACGTACGTTGCAAAAACGTAGATTGAGATGATAAAACCACATATAAATGTTTTAAAAAATCGTTCATCTTTAAAAAGAAGCATCGGCAGAATCTAATTCAGACTCTTCACTTAAACTCTGACCAGTTTTTCTCGAGACTGAGACAACTGTTTTATTTTTTTCGAACCATGACTGAAACAGCTTTAATACGATACCATACTTGACCTCTTCAAGATTTTGAAGTAACTTTCATTAAAAAAAACAAAAAAAACTTGAATTGAACGTACCACGTATGATTCGTCGATAGCACTGCTACAATCTACCTTGCCATTGCACACTTTCTCTTTTGGGAGACATTTTCCATCGCAGGGTACATTCCAACTGTCTTCCTCGCACTCGGGGTCCCTTCTCAGATGACAGAAGAGGTGTGGCGAGTGCTCGTCTAGCTGGTCCCGACAGTCGTATCTGCCGTCGCACAGTGCCTCGCGAGGGATGCATGTCAAGTCCTCGCAGACATAGTCCGATTCTGAATCACAATACTGCTGGTAACAACCCAACTCATCCGAGCCATCTGGACAATCTTGGACGAAGTCGCAGCGAGCCGAAAGGGGAACACAGATACGCGAAGATATATTACTCGTTAAAGACAGATTCGGTGATGACGTAGAGGTGTCCAGACTGGAGAGCACGGAAGAGGTCTTCAAGTCTGTGATGTTGTAACCCCATCTATTCCAGGCGTTGCACTCGAACTTGGGGTTGCGTGGATTGAGCCATCCTACTGGGTCACATGGCTGCTGTTTTGAGACTTGTTTCGAGTCTCGTTTGTTTCTAAGGAGTCTGCCAGGGTAAACCGGAGGCGGCTCACCCCACCAAGCAGATGATCTGGAGTATTCCGGGGAGCGAGACAGAGTTTCTGAGTTGGATAGATGGAAGACGCAGCCAACAATTATTATTACTGAAAAACACACAACGCGATCAAATTATTGCACTAAAGCTGACACCGTAATTTTAAAACAAAATATCAAATCATTGCAAAAAGCTTTCGCCAACATACTGAATTTTTTTTAAGAAATCGTTCTCATAACCAAATAAACTCATACATGAGATCACTCCGCAAACTAAGACGTCATTTAAATGAAATGGCACACAATTATAAAGCAAAGAAAAATTCTCGAGTTGGCTGGTCGAGTTTTCAAATTCATTTATTCTGAAATTTGACCTAGAACCAAAATTTTGGACACCCATAAAAAAACGTATACTCTGTTTTAATCTGAGGCAAACTTGCGTGATGAGTCGCAGGTGAAATAGATAACTTACCAACTAAGACACCGCCGAGTTTCACAGTCCTTAGAAGCGAGAGCGAGGAGAGAGAGAGATCCACATTAAGCATCAAATTGCGGCATAGTTTCACTCAAACAGTACAGCATCAGACTAGCACACACAAATGGGCAGAGAGTACTCCAACAACACTAACAGCTAGGGGGTAGTATTCGTGATTTGTAGAGATATTAGAAACGAAAGCGAAGGGCGCTTTGTGGGCAACGAAGAGAGGAAAAGCGAAGACACGCAGTATACTAATGGTGGCCAAGCTGACCGACAAAAAGACAAAACTAATCTGAAAACAAACCAAACTGATATTAAAATCAAAACAAAATTTGCGGACTGTTTCCAATCAACAATTTACTTTCAGCACTAACAAAATTTAGCTTCGAGTAGAAAACAATTATTTAAATGAAAAAAACGTTGCTGATAGAAAAATGACGGAAACCTTGCTAAAAATTTAAGAATGGTTGGTTTCCTACCTAAACTAAATTGATTCTTCCACACGTCTATTGTTCTTTTGAACGAGTAAATCAGTACTACCACAAAAACTAAATTCTCTACTATTCAGATTTAAACTAGATAAACTAGCTTCTCAAATTATAATTTAACTTAAGGCGGGAGAAGTTAACAACAGTGTAATTGGGCTTTTCCTTCTTTTGTAGTTGACTTGGTAGAGTAAAACTCAAATGCACAGCAGGCAAGGATGTTTTACAAATATTTGCAATACAAAAGAAAATTTTCATCCAAAATCAACAGATGGCTTTAGTTTAAGATAAGAAAACAAAAAGACAGTTCAAATCAAATAGCTTTTACTGCAAATCTCCTCCTTTGCAATAAACGACGGTCAAAAATAAGCTGGAAAAATATTATCGAACTCTTCCCTCCCTCTCAACTTAAAAATTTAAATACTTGATATTTACTTAAACCGAAGCACACTTCTATTGCTAGTGGAATGAGGGGAGGGAGATTTTCTGACAAAAATCTATCCAGAAACGCTGAAATATTTATTGTGAGCCGACGCCTAACGAAGGCAGCCAAGCCACATCAATATTTTTTTGACTCAATTAAATATTAATACTCTATTCAAATGAATTTTTCAAAAAAATGCTGAAACCTACTGTAAAACACAGAAGCGAAGCTGAGCTTCGCACCACTTGCGATACATTAATCATAGGATGAGTGCACAATGACGTTAAAAAATAAGCAAATAGAACTTCGAACGATGTTACAATTGAAGGAAGTGAAAAAACGAGAAGAAACACTTGAAAAAGAAAAACGCTATTTTTTCGTGCTCCAAATTATTTAATTTTTTCAAAGAGGTCCTAGTGGGGTTAAATTGGGTATTCAAAATATGGCGCCAGAGTCTTATAGATCTCAAAAGTACTACCGGACAATTTCAGGAAAAGAGACGTGGTAAACACGCCGACAGAATTGAGGCCGACATCCAATATGCTGAAACTCAGCAAAAAATTTTCGTAAAAAAACTATAGGAAGGAAAAAAATTTCATGTAACGCCCATAAAGGATCCACGATAGCTATATAGTAGCGTAAGCAAAGTAGACTACATAACTTGGAAACTAAGCTGACAGAGCTGAAGTCGACAACCATGAAGCCAAAAACCATCAGCAGAAAAAAATTAAAACTCATACATACAATGGTTTGAGTTCAAGATATAGCATGCAGCAGTAACTAGAACCCGGTAGTTAATTTTTAGTATTCAAGAAAATGAGTGTGTCAGCAGCATAGCAGCATCATAAGTGATTCAACTGAAAGTTTTCAACTTTCCAAATTTCGAAAAAAAAATTATAACGGTAAAACTATCTTAGTTTCAAAAACTATTATTTCGCCATTGTTTAAAAAGTTATTCCGTTTAGAGAAAACTGGATTTTTCTGATCCGCAAGGAATTTGGAAAATAGAAGTCTACTTTTGAAACTATAACTCATTCACGTTTTGCATGGCCTTTGCAATTTTGAAGTTCGATAGAGGAGTTTGGCTTCCTTTCAACCATTTTAGCTTTTGCCTGAACTTAAAACTAAATCAAAAGTCAAACCGCAAAAAATCTACTTTGAGTGCGAACAAATTATGAATTTTTCCTATAAAAAAAAGAACCGAAAAAAATTCACAAGCTAAGCAAGTCATAATCATTGCGTTCTTTAACACTTAAAAACCTCAAGATTTTGATTGCAAACTTGAATATTGTAAAACAGTAAGATATCTGATCAGCGCCCAAAAATGAACCCAAATACGTACTTCTAAAAGCTTTATTTTGAGAAAACTTGCAACCTTTATAAAAAAATATTTTCCAATCTTAATGCCTATTAATTTCCCTGGGTGGCTAAGCTTCAGTTTATACAGAACCAAAACAAAGTTTATACGAACAAAATATTGAAACCACGTTGTTGCTATTTTTAATGATATTTTGGCATGCAGAAAATTGGAAGAAAAGAAATTCTAGAGCCATATTTAATTTGTAGATTAAAGAAAAACTACACACCGCTACTTAGTTGGACACTTTGCACACAAATCGTGTATTAGCCGAAAAAAGGACTTGAAAACAGAAACTTTCATACGTTTGTCTCGAATAAAATTCAATTTGATGAGAGCATGACAAGGAACAAGAGCACCAGCGTCAAACAAGCATTAACTGTTAATGTATTTGGGTTCATTTTTTGGCGCTGATCAGATATCTTACTGTTTTACAATATTCAAGTTTGCAATCAAAATCTTGAGGTTTTTAAGTGTTAAAGAACGCAATGATTATGACTTGCTTAGCTTGTGAATTTTTTTCGTTTCTTTTTTTTACAGGAAAAATTCATAATTTGTTCGCACTCCAAGTAGATTTTTTGCGGTTTGACTTTTGATTTAGTTTTAAGTTCAGGCAAAAGCTAAAATGGTTGAAAGGAAGCCAAACTCCTCTATCGAACTTCAAAATTGCAAAGGCCATGCAAAACGTGAACATGCAATATTTCGAGCGCCCTAGGCAGATAAAACTCACGTAGACGCCAGGAAAATCCTAAGAAAATTGAGAGAAGAACGTTTTTTTAATTCTAAGTTTCGTGTCCTAACGCACAATGAGGACACGGAACGCAAGGAAAAATCTTTTTTTTTCGCGGCTTTCAAACAACGCAATATGTCGTAAATTCGAATAGCAGCAATTTTCCCTTCTCAAATACAGGGCCTGAAGCAATAAAAATAAATTAAATAGTTGAACAAGATCCCAACTTCGACACTTTTGAACAGTCATGAAAATTTTGAGAACATGCATCAGAGAGAACATGAAAAAATGATCGACAAGTTTTTTCACGTTTCAAGTTTAAATTTATGAGTACAGGGCTCAAAATTGTCAAATGACAAAACAAACTATTTCCACAGGCGAAGCTGCACTTCACAAACACAAGTGGGAAAATACCAAAAAGCTATAGATCTAAAAAGGTTAAAAACTGAAATAAGGAAATTTTTTTTAAAAAGTCTATAAAAACTTTGCGATCTTCGGAATTGAACACCTGGCCTGTAGCTTATGAGTCTCATGTTTTTTCTGCACGACAGGTGCTTGACGATATCTAAACACTAGCCACTAAAAAGCAGAGAACAGATGATATTCAATTGCCAATGCTATGCAGCAAAATTTTCACTAAAAAGATTCATTTTATGCAAGTGTATAAAAAACATTAGCAAGTGTAAAAAAGATAACGTTGTTAGAAAAGCGGAACAATCTCGTTTTCCAGGCAACATTTTACAAACTCAATCATCTCTCAGTAATCTCGTTGTTGAAACATTCTTTTAGAGCGCACAAAAAGCTTGAATTTACGAACTTGGGAAGCCATATCTCAGCTTATAAGTAGCAAAAGCAACCAAAAAAAACTAGACCCGGCACAAAACCTAGCGTTGATTAAAAACATAGCCAACAGATTTGAATTAAAAAAATGTATATCAAGTTAAAGCTCATTGAATTTTAAATAGTTGTTTATGATTGGCTCTTTTTCCTTTAAAGTCATCCAATTGAGAAAAAACTGTAGTAAGTTTTGCATTCTGCTAGAAATTTAGAAAATAAAGTCCATATTTGAAACAATATGCAAAAAAAATGAAATAAAAAATCGGAAGCATGAATTTTTAAATTTTTTTAGGGTATTCGTGTCTGCTAGTTGAGACACTGGCTTATTTTTCAATCATCTCATTCCAACTGACAATTTCAAACTACCAGTTCCTTGAAGGTAAAATATCGCCAACAGACAGTTGGAAAAAAGTGATAAACACAAGTAAATAAAAAAACTTGCTTGTTTTTCGTAAAAATCTCAATTTTCGCAGTTCAAAGAAAAAATAAAAAGCCGTAAAGCTCTTTGAGTTTCTTGAAAAATTTGACAAGTTTTTGATAAAATTAATCCCATTTGAGAAAACAGGATCAATGGGATCATTTTCTTTTTGCTGAGAAATCTGAAAATTGAAATTCACTTTCGAAATTTGAAGTCATTTACGTTTTTGTGACCTTTACACTTTCACTGTTCGATAGCGGAGTTTGCACTCCTTTCAACAACAAAAAATCAAGGTACAAGTGTGATAGAGGGGTCCCACAAAATTAACCGGGTTCCTAATGTAAAAAGAGTGCCTCAAAACTGTTCAATTTACTGCTTCGGCAATTTCAACTTAAGTATGGAATAAGTTAGCGCAAATGAGGCAGGTTAATTACGCTTGAGAAAAAGTTTTAAAAGGACCGACAGGTGCATATTGATTAAGTTATTTCCTGTATTTTCTTTAAAAAAAGTGTGATTTGAGACCCCTTTATCAAACTTGTACCGAAATGAACTGAACTTTAAAGCAAATCATAAATCAAACAACGAAGAAAACTATTTAAAAAATCAGTAGGACCTATATAGGTGAAAAACGTCTAGTTCTTTTCCTCTTAATTAGGTCAACAAAAAAGCTGTTTTGGCAACTATTCAGTAGATGTTACACCTAACTCCGCTGCTGCATAAGAAAATGATAAGCTGTTATTTATATAATAATAATTAATTAATAATAATAAATTAATAATAATAATTGATTATTATTATATAAATAACTGCTTATCATTTATATGGGTTCAAATATTGTTCTTCCATTCAAATCTAAGTTTATTGGTTACCTTAGGAACATTTTTTAATTCATTAATTCAAACTACATGTGTTCACGAGAATTCTCGAACAGCAAAAGAAAACAAAGCCCTTTAACGAGTTATGATTGACTGACCAACTGATTACTCCAAATTATAATTTTTCTACTTCAATCAAGACCCAAGTAAATTAATTTACAG